ACGGGCTGTGAGAGTCTTTCAAAGGGCTGGGCAGACCACATAATAAATCTGAGCAAAAAAAAAAACAAAATATTTCTCCTATGTAAACGAAAGAGCGGCGAACCCCCTGACGACGTTTAGCGAGCGCTTGGCAAATATTTAAACTGTGCTCGATTGTTCGACGAAATCGTTGCATTTGGTCAAACACGTGTTCGAGATAATTTAATTAAATTTACTTGCCTTATTTTTTTACAGCTCTACAAACTAAAGCCAGCCACGTGCCAGGCCCGCTGGCAACCTGACCAACCCACAACAAGTCTGCACTCCGAGCCGAACTTGACTCAAGTGGCAAACACTTCAGCGCTGCGATACGGTTGGGGTAATTTCTCAATTGTGGCAAGTGCAATTTTCAACAAAAAAACAGCTTAAAGGGTGGTCCAGAGGGTTCGAATAGGCTAAACTATACATTCCAGTTACTGCATCGACAACATTTGCTATCTGCGTGCATCGAAACTTTTGGTGGTCCGCGGCTTTGTTTGGCGCGCAGACAAAGCAACTGTCATATGTTGTCATTTCCAAAGATACTTTCATTGTTGAGCGTAACGACAGCATCTGCCAGCTCAAATCCGCAGAGAGCAGCGAGCATTGAGAGTCTTGAACAAATTCCATGAATAGACGACGATGATGACTTGAAGAACTCCAGTGCTGCACCTCTGCCTTGACTCTCTCTCTGAGAGTAAAAGTCAACATGGTATCGAAGCGAACTGTAAAACTTAAAATGATTTATGCTCACAGTGTGTGTGTGCGTGCGTGTGTGTTTGCTGGTATCGCATCTCGTTCAACTGCTGCGACATTACTCAGAGCTAATTTGCATACGGCAGGAAGAATGAGACGAAGAGCAACAACAGGATCCCAATAGGACCTCGACTAGCGGCACACTTGAGAAAATGCATAAAAGGAAACTAATTAAGTTGTTCGCGCCTCAAATTTCTCCGTCCCTCCGTCCGCTCAGTGTAATTTATGGCTCGCCTCTGTGAATGTCTTGCATCTGGACAAAGTCACTGAAATATTCCTTTATCTTTGACAAATGGGCCATTTGCATGCGAGTCTTGAGTTTTGACTGCATTTAATTTATTCATGGCCATAATTGCAAAATGGCGGCCAGCTAAAGCGAGAAATACGACTTTGTTGGCTAGTGTAGAAAATAAATATATTAAGAAAAGGATTCACAGTTTTCATAATATTATTTTGCTATGAATTTATTTATTGTTATCAAATTTATTTATTATATTTAAATAGTATATCAAATAAGTGTGTTATGGGTATTTCTTGAACTTTGTTAGGTAGTGTGGGGAATGAAGCATATTCAGACTATATATATATATATATATATATATATCTATTTATTTATATATTTGAATATCTATATATCTATATATCTTTATATATATATATATCTATATATCTATATATCTATATATCTATATATCTATATATCTATATAACTATATAACTATATAACTATATATCAAATTATTTAATTTCTCTTTTACAGGTTATCAAACTTTGTTCATATATTAGGGATATTCCTGCATTTTAAGTACACAATGGAAAACTGTTAACTTTCGCCTCTTTTAAAATGTCTCTAGGTCTTTCTTTATATAGAGCCAACTCTGAATATCGATTATAATGTTTATCAGAAAAATTAGCTGATTTAAGCTTGTACATCGTGCTAAATAAACAAATATTTAAATATTAAAAATATCAAATTTCTGGAAAAAAAATCAGGATATATTTAGATATCAGGATATATTTAGATATATTTTTGATCAGGCCAATTAATCTAATTAATTAAAAGAAGTCAACTTGAAGTCAACTGCCCGCTCTCCGAAGTCGTGTCATCGCTGTCATTTAATGTTGTCTTTGTTGATTTTGGCTTAAAGTTAGGCCGCACATTCATTCATTCAAGCATTTGTGTTAATAAGGACTCATTGCACGCATTTTGATAATCCCTTAAGTCGAACAGCGAGAATTTAATTGCCAGACATGAGGACCAGTTGAGCGACTGCCACTGAAAGTGCCTGTGACCGAGGCTTATAACTTAGCAATTGGTTAGTGAGTGAGCCGCGGTCATGTAATCCAATTGAAAACAATTCGAATTTGCGTTTCCAATGACAAACAAATGGTAGGCAGAGCGGGCCAAGGGAAGGAGGCGCAACGGGACTAAGGTGAGGGGAGGCAAGTCGAGGCGAGCCGAGGTGAGGCGAGGTGTTCTATGACAGCTGCCAGGCAATGTATAAAATTTTGGTACCGGACCCCTGGGCCCAGATCCCATGGAGAATAGCGCGTGATAAAAGGGGTTAATCGAACGTCCGCTAAAGTCGTTGGACCAGCGAGCGACTATTCGCTCGGGAGCATCGGAGTTGCGGTCTCTGGCACGGATTTCACTTCTTTTTGTTTTTGTTTTTTTTTTTTTTTTTGTTTTGTGGTCGAGCGGGCGCTAATGAGTTGCCTCAACTGGAAAATTCAGAAATTTTTCTTAAGTTTTGCGCGTAGATTTTTGGGGCTCCAGCAATTGCTTAATTGGCGACGCCTGGGGACATGGTTTGTTGCCCTTTTGATTCGAGCATTAAATATGAATGTACTTGAGAATTCCTGCGCCTTATTGACTCACACAAATCTATTGGGAGGCATTTCGACTGTCACTCAATGGCCAAAATAGACCAAGCCACAAATAGACAAATCTATGCAGAACTATTGAAGAATATGCCTATGCGTAGCTCGCAGTTGGGTTTTGACTGAAAAACAGATTCAAACGCCCCTTAAATTAATTCACAGAAGCGAGGCACAGCCAACCCTTTGGCTCTCGCGTCTCTTTCAATGGCAACCGCAAAGGCGGAAAATGCAAATGGTTTGCTTGCCTGAGCCGACTGCCCGTTGACTTTTCTGACGAGGCGTAAAAATTGTAAAAATTTTGTGGGCGGTTTCGCTTATGTTTGTAATTTTCGAAGGCAACACCAAAATGCTAATCCAAAGGCAGAAGTAGGTACTCGAAATTGTTTGACAACTTGCTTAAGGCAAAGGAAAATCCAACAATCTTTTCATTATTCCCCGACTTTTCAACTAAAGTCAAATATTAATAGAACTAACTGAAGGTAAGTAAACGTAGTTAAGCTGACATTAAGATGTGAAGGTAATAATGTTCTTAGAAATTATATTCAAAATATTAAAAACTAAATAAAAATTCAAGAAGTGAATAAAGACTTAAGGCTAAGTTTTCGGGGTGATATATGTACGATTTTAGATTTATTAAAAATGAGTTAACAATAAAAGAAAATTAAACTAAATAAAAAAATTTTCTGAGGCAAAATTCAAAAACATGTTAAGTTTATTAAACAATAAATTATTCAATAAAATAAATTTATTTTTGTATATACATTTAATACTTATTATAAATTAAGACTTCTTGAAAATATTTAATTTAGATATATATATATTTCATTTAAATTGTCGCGCAAAATGGACAGAGAAATTGTTGTTCTATTTTGTTTCATTTCATTCATTTCGTTTCGCTGTGCACTGCCCGCAAGCTGTGCCACTGCTTAGCCGACTGCTTGGCAAAGAGCAGTTGGTACGCTCTCTCGCGCGCACTGCTCTCTTTGGTTGCATGGATTAAGTGCCGTTGAGACCGCATTGGCCAATCAGCGACGGGCACACAATGACATTTTGTTTTGATTCCCAACTGACTTGATGTTCGCTGCGCTGTGGGATGGGGCGTTGACACTTTTGGCTGCTGGTTGTGCTGCTGCCTGGGCACCGAAATGTTGGCAGCCGTTGTCTGGGAATAGCTATAGATAAGCCAACGCGAGCAAGGGGACCTGTACTTGGCCCAAACAGTTGGCACAGCGGGCCCGTCTAGCAATACATACGCCTCTCGACCAGGTTCCATGGGGCACCCACTTGGGCTCTGCAGAAGAGTCGGAGACACCGATGCTGCTGTGTCAATTCCAGCGTCCCACAACAGGTCAGCGTCGGCGTCCTGGTCCCCACACACACACACAAACACACGCACGCACACGCACACATTCAGGTGCTGCTATACACACGCATATAAAGAGATATTTTCTGCTCGCTTTGCTCTCCCGCTCTCTCTCTCTCACTCGCACTCTCTTGCTCAGGTGCCTCTCGCTCTGACTCTTGGCTCTCTGTCTGGCCCACGTCCTCGCCCAGCCAGCGTCGAGTCGTCATCGTTGGTGGATGGTTGCTGACAGTTCGGCTCTCAACGGACGTCGGACGACGGACGGGCACAGGTTTCCCTTTGGCCTGGGCCTGTGCCACGACGCTCTATGCCTGGCCTGCAAAAACCACCACTCCCAGCGATAGGTTAGATTTCCATTCGCTCATGCCTTGCGCGCTTACTCGGTCGCAGGCAAGTCTTATTGCTGCTGCTGTTGTTGTTGGTGCAGCGTGCACCCTCTCCTGCCAGCCACCCGCTGTGCTCCTGCGGCGCACGCTCGTTTCGTTTCCACCGCGACTTCAACTCTCGTTGGTCGTTGCGGCTTGACTAGCGCTGCCTTCGCCGACGTCGCAGCTCGCAGCTCGTAGCTCGAAGCTGCGCAGTTGCCTTGGCCGTTGCCGTTCGATTGCAGCAGCAGCATCGCAGCGGACTCGGATTCAGTTGGGGTTTAACAGCCACTCGGGACGGTAGCGCGCGCCGCTTAAACTTGTTGCGAGACCAATTTTCCGAAAATCCCAAATTCTCCGCGGTGCATTGGCACTTACACACACACACATACATAGCATACACCCGCTCACCACGGCCTATACCAATACACAATACTGGGTTCAAATCAAATCCCCAATTACAATTGCCTTCAGTGCCAATTTGTGCGCCGGTATTAAAATTAAGGGCTCCGCATCTCCAGCTGTATCCGTATCTGTATCTGTAACCGTAACCGTATCTCTATCCGTGTCGCGCTTTATTGATTGCCGTGCCTCTCCAGAGAGATCAAGTGACCCAGACAACAACAACAAACAGCTTTTTGTGCTCAGTGTCAAATCGTGGCAATAATTGCAGCAGCGCCATCGCCAACAACAGCATTCACAACGGCTGCCACAATTGCCCCAACACCTGCCGCGAGCAACTACACAAAGGTGAACGACTATCCGTACGCTGATCTCCATCAGCATCAGCACCATCACTTCGCTAGCACAGCGCCCCTGACCAGCGCCGAGAGCTTCAAGCTGCGCTCCGAGGAGCCGGTGCCGGGCTTCAGCTCGGCCTCGCCGTGGCCCACTTTGGAGCTGGGCATGGAATGGGGACGCAAGCTCTATCCCACCGCGGGCCCCCGATCCGCTGGCGGCTTGATGTTCGGCCTGCCGCCCTCAGCGGCGGACATGAACCAGCCACGCGGACCGATGACATCCCTCAAAGAGGAGCCGCTGGGCGGCCGCTGGGCCATGCAGCCGGTCGTCGATCAAAGCAAGTAAGTCAAATACAAAATAGACTGTGATCAAGTGAACAGATGAGAGTGAAAAGCAGTTGAAAGTGTTAAGTAAACTTGAGTGTGGCAGAATCTATGTCTTTAAAGAGCTTAAAGCCAAAGACTTCATCTGAGATTGTGAATAGTTTTGGTCAGATGCTTGTATCCCTTGAATTTGAATTGGAATTATTTAAGTAATTACAATATATATATAATCCAAATATCTGTATCTGTATCTACTTAAGCAAAAGTTCATCAAACGCACAGTTAAATTTTCATATAAATCAAATTCTTCGCAACATTTTCGCATTGTGCAATGAAATCTTGGCAACATTTTCGCATTGTGCAATCAAATCTTGGCAACATTTTCGAATGACTTCAGCAACATGTTTACTAGCTAATATGTTGATATAATTTTGTTAGATCTGCACATAAATTTCTGACTTACAACTTAATATAGTTATTAAGTATGCTGGTCAATTTGAATCACTTCTTCTGCGCATTATCAATTTCGAAAGCGTGGCAACATCTCACATGTTGCAGCAACAAAAAAAAGTTTCAACAAGCAAAAAGTCTCCAAAAAAGCGTTTGTTTACTTTTGGCCAAAGCCGGCTTTAGCCCGATACGAGTGCCCCCGGGGGAAGATATTGGCGAAAACCCGCAGCCAGTCGGTCAGGCAAAGGGGCTTTTTATGGCCGCCCCCGCAAGGTGGCCCAAAACAACAACAAATTCCACTCAAAATCTCACTCAAACAAGAAACAGCTCGGCTAGACATCTTCATAAAGGGCGCCGCACGCACTTTCCGGGGTTGACTTCTGATGCCGGAATGCTGACGCCGTAATGCGTAAGCCTCTTGCCGTGGTCGTTGCCGTTGCCATTGCCTTTGAGCTGGTGTGCTTTTTATTTTGGACGCTGCGTGCGCTCAAAGGGATGTTTTTGTTGGCGCTTCACTTTCGCTTTTGCCTTCGCCTTGGCGTTCATTTCAATTGAATTACAAGAAAGAAGAGCGCCCTCCGGCTCTTTTTGGGGGTTTGCAGCTGAGGCAAAAGCTTCGCCTTGTGGCGCGCTTGTTTAGTTGCGTCTGAGATGTTTCTAGCGTGAGATGTTCGCGCCGAGAAGAAGTGCGCGTGTGGCAGAAAGCGAAACAGCAACGGCAACGGCAACGGCAACGGCTTCAGCCACGGGAATTGCGAGTGCGACTGCGACTGCGAGTGTCACATTGTTGAAAATGACCGCGGGCTTTCATTCGGTGCATTCAGCGACGGCAAATCAACAGCAGCAAACCCACTCCCACACACACCTGAGCAGCAACACAGGTGGCCACAGCAGCAGCAGACATTTGCATCTGCTGCACGACGACAATCTGCATCAGGATCACAATCATAATCAAACACTGAACAACACAAACCTTAAGATAATGCGCTGTGATGTGAGGTAAAATTGGGAAGTTTTAATAAATATCAAATATCATGTGATAAGGGCTTTAGATTTCATGTGAATATTAATTATAGCACCTGGAAATCATATCTATTTGTGGCTGATAAGTTTATGAAAATATTCTTAGCTCTCACTTCTCTTAACATTTTCCAGCTGTGATATTTATTTTTCAAGCTCTTTCTTCATAATAAATAGTTGATATTGGAATAAAAAAAATTAATAAAATAAAATATACAAATACAAATAGCTCAAAATGCCAGATTTGAACATATTTCAAGCCAATAACTAAATGCGCTCATTTGTGTATATAATTAAGTAGAAAATTAAATATATTATTATTGAATTTTAAAAAAAAAAAAATATAAAATTTATTCTAGATTTGCTCATTTTAATATAAATATAATAAAAAATAATAATATAATAAAAATAAAAATAAAATACTTAATCTTCCAAATAAAATCTATATATTACAATTATAAATATATTAATTTTTAGTTACAAAATTTAATATTATGTTTAAAAAACTGCAAATTCAGTTAAATATGCACAAGATTCAATTAACAAATATTTTTTATTTATTTGTTTTATTTTTTATGAGCGTAGAATAAATGTCAGATTTCTGCTATTCAGTTTTAAAATTTGTTTTGAATCATGAATGCCTATTTGAAATATTTGTGAAGTTTGAATAGATATTTCGAAATATTATTAAAATATTAAAATTATAATTTATTCTGATTTTTGTGGCAAATAAGTCAGTGAATATTTTCTTATTTTCTAGTTTCTCTCTTGAGCGATGGCAATATACACATTTAATACATATATATGTATTTTTTTCTGTGTTTTTTTTTCTATAATAAGAACTATATATCTTTAAAAATGTCCCCATATTCATTAGGAAATTGTATTAGATTTTTTATTTATACATAGAAAAGGAAACAAATCCTTTTGTTATAAAAGAAATACAAATAAGAGCCCTGCAGTCTGCAGTTAATAATTTAATAATATTTTATCTGCATCTCTTGGAAGTTATAATTTCCACTTCAAGTGTCTCTCACACGTGAATGGCAATTGCAACTGTAAACTGTCTTGTTGAAGCCAATGTATTTTAAAACTTTGCCCAAGGAATAAATTTCACACTTATCTCGGGCTAATCAATACTTTTTGCTAGGTAGACCTTCGGTTATTTATTTATTTATTTATCTATTGTCGCACACAGACACACATTGTACTTAATATTAGTTGAAAGTTGCAACAAAATGTTCGAACATAAATCAAAAAAAAATATTCGAAATTTATTTCAACAAAGATTGCGGCGAACTGCAATCGAGTAAAACAATGCAACAATGGCCATAAAATGGATAGCAACACACGACAACAACAGCAACTAAGGCAACAACAATGACTGTAATCGAAGTGTATTGTAAATAAAGTGTCCTTTTTAAAGGACATTCCATGGAAGTTTAGTGCAAAAAAAAAAAGAGGGAAAAGCGCAAAATGGAAATTCACGTGCGCGGAAATAGGCAAAACGTGACCACGACTCATGCCTCGCCCCGCTGGCGCGCCCACCTGCTGGTCACCTGGGCATCGATTTCCGACAATTAAATGTTGGCATAATAAAATCAACAGCAAAACGGCCACAAAACGTTTTTCGCAAATTGGCGGCAAGCGCAAACAAGCCAGAGCATGAAAAAGTCCACACAATTGCGACTGAAGTCGGCAGAGTCAACAGTCGAGTGCTTAGCCACAGAGCGAGCCAGGAGGCGAACACTTTTTTATTTGGCCAGCTAACTTTTTGGTCGGGTCATATACGTATACCTGCATATATATGTAGTCCTCCTGCTGCTCCATAACAATAACCTTTCGCCCAGAATGTAACATGTCTGGCATTTATGTGTCGTCCCCGGACTCGAACATCACTCGCAACTGGTGCAGCTTGTGTGTGGGCAGCCACTCCCAACTTGCCAACTCCGAACTCCAAGCTCCAAGCTGCCCAACACCTCGCCTACTCATTCACCTCTGTGCATTGGTCCTGGCACATTTCTGCTGCAGCCACAAATTGTCTAATTTCATTTGTTTTTGCAAATTGCAAAATTGAAATTGCATTAACAAAGGAGCAAAGTTGCATTTTCCAACTGCCTTTGTGCCACAAATGCCAAATATTCGAAAACTGTTTTCAGAGACCTTTAAAACTAGAGCAGCTCAGAAAGTTTACAAAAATATTTGGTCTATAAAAATTATAAATAAATTGCAGTTGGATGAAAGGGAAGCTTGGAAATTTTTAAACAACTTTTTGAAATTTTTTTAATATAAAAAAAATTAAATCAAGTTAAAAAATAAAGCAGCATTTTCAACTACAAAAATGTTAAGTAAAATATCAGAAGCATAAGATTTATACGAAATCTTTTTTGACAGAGCTTGAAAAAAAGAATGAGTGAGAGAGCGTAGAAAATATTAATGATTTAAAAAAAAAAGCTACATTACCAGAATATTCAAATATATTATAGAGAATATAAACTAATAAAACGATTCGAACTTTGACTGTATATAATTGAATTTTTCGTACGTTTCGATTCGTTTGCTAAGTTTTATTAAGGTTTTGGAACTTTTTAAAATGTTTACTTGATTCTAAACTTACTTGAGCTTCGCATGAGTCTACTCAAACTCAAATATAATTTTCATTTCATCTGAAGCACGACTATTAATCGACATTCAAAATTTTGGAAATATTTTAACATTTTGGCCACCGATGCGTAGTTCAAAGTTCTGAGTTATGAAATTCCATACATGTTCCAAAAGACAAAATTGCAGAGAAATGGACGAATAGAAATAGAAGAAGTTTGGAAAAACTTGAAATACAAAAAAGTATTAAAAGTGTTAAAAATTTAAATTTTGAGAGTAGCTAAAAAATATGGAAATTTATTTTGTTGCATTTCCAAGTTTAAAACTATAAAATCTAAAGTTGTACTAAATATTATAGATTTCATTTTAAGACAAAAGAAATGGCAAATTGAAACAGTATAACTAAAAGTTACTTGAATAATTAGTAAAATATATATATATATATATTATATCATATCATATCATGGACATAAACATAGTTTAAATTGATAAAAAAAAACCTCTGCTCTGCTTAATCAATATATGTCGCAGTTGCAATAATTCCGTCGAATGCCCTTGAGAATCAATTCATGTTTTGTATCAAATTATTATTTATATAAAAGTAAGGTAAACAAATAGTAAAAAAAACGGCGACATTTGCTGTTGGCATAACTTAAATTGCTTCGATTTTGTTGTTGTTGATGTTGTTGAGAGAGCGAAGTGGATAATTTTGAAAACGATTTATCATTGAGGCTATCATTAGCTGAGCAAAGTCCTCTAGCATTATCCTTTGGCAAATGTGTATATAATTGCGCCCGGACATTGGATAGTTGGCATAGGAGCTGGGTAGCCGTTGCCTGCGCGCTACTTCTTGACATTTGCCTGAATAAATAATAGAAATCTGATAAAATCAGCATTTTCTAAATTAAATTGTTCGTTATGCATATGCATGTGTGTGTGTGTGTGTATAAAAGAAAAACGCAGACGAACAACTCGGCCGTGTCCGAGGGTCGCAGCTCTACTGTTAGGTAGTTAGCATTGCCCAGTAATTGCGCTGACAGACAGCAGTCGGAGAAGGAGGCACAGACACGAGTCATAAGCCATAAGGTGAGCAGCAGGAGCAGGAGCAGGAGCAGAAGCAGCAGCAGGAGTAGGTTGCAGTGTTGACATTTGGCATATGGAGTGGACAAGCCTTTGGCTCATGTCCCATGTCCAAGTTAAGGTCTATGTGTGTGTCTGTGTGTGTGTGTGTCTGTCCTGTACTTATAATTACAGTGTTTGCTTGGCCCACATAACATAAATATTTGTTGACGAGTCGCTCGCCCGCTCGCTCGTTCATTCTTTTGCTTCTTGGCCAAGAGCCGACCCCTGCCTGAAGCTGTTGTGTGTTAATTCCTTTATTCATCAGGATTATTGTGTCACGTTGAAGTTGCGCTTATGCGCTTTTAATGATAGCTGTCACTGGCCACTAACCACTAGACACTGGACACTCGACAGTGGACAGTGGCTGCTGTTTAAATGTCACTGTCAAGTAATTGAGTTGTCTGTCCCAAAACAGTGTGGCATATTAGTTGGGAGCTCGCCTAATTGCGGCTCTATTTACATTGCTAATAGCGTAATTTGAAGTAGGCCTCCGTTTTTAAAGACACCTTTTTTCGGCTTCTAATTGCAGCCTGGGCATTGGACGCGCCCACTTTGAGAAGCAGCCGCCCAGCAATTTGCGCAAATCGAATTTCTTTCACTTTGTGATTGCGCTCTACGATCGCGCCGGGCAGCCCATCGAGATAGAGCGAACGGCCTTCATCGGCTTCATCGAGAAGGACTCCGAATCGGATGCCACAAAGACCAACAATGGCATCCAGTATCGCCTGCAGCTGCTCTACGCGAATGGTAAGTGCCAACTCTGTACACTGTGAACTAAGCTAACTAACAACTATCTTATGCAGGTGCCAGACAGGAGCAGGACATATTCGTGAGGCTCATCGATTCAGTTACCAAAGCAGTAAGTCAACTATGCTTAATTTGTAGTTCTCGCATTCAATTAAAAGTGAATTCCATAAAACAGCTTTAAAATAATGGAAGTAAAATATATTTAACTGATTTGCAAACACTTGGATTATTCAATAATTATTAAATCTAAGAGCAGAACTTGGTCTTGAAGCTGCTTTTACCTGAATTTAGTTTGCTGCTTATGAAGTTTTTGATGAGCTAAAAACTATTTCTATTTACTTCTAAGTGTCATATTCCATTCTTAAACATATTTTAATGATTTTCGTTGAGTTGGCAAATTGATATATATTATTTATATTTGTATATGTATATTTAGATCATATATATTATATTACTAACAATTATTAAGTTGATTTTAGCAAAAAGATTTCTAAAAAATTTTTAAACAACTTAAGTTCATGAGTTGATTAACAGTAATAAGCAACATAATATTAATAATATTAATAATGATAATAATATTAAAAAAATAAAAATAATATTAAAATTAATAATAATAATAGTAGTAATAATAATAATAAAAATAATAATATTAATAATAATCAAAATAATAATAATAATAATAATAATATTAATAATAATAATAGTAATAATAATAAAAATAATAATATTAAAATTAATAATAATAATAGTAATAATAAAAATAATAATAATAATAAAAATAATAATATTAATAATAATCAAAATAATAATAATAATAATAATATTAAAAATAATAATAATAATATTAATAATAATGATAATAATATTAAAAAAAATAATAATATTAAAATTAATAATAATAATAGTAATAATAAAAATAATAATAATAATAAAAATAATAATATTAATAATAATCAAAATAATAATGATAATAATATTAAAAACAATAATAATAATATTAATAATAATAATAGTAATAATAAAAATAAAAATATTAATAATAATAATAATGAATATGCAGTGCCTGAAAATGCTTCATTTGCTTTTAGCCAAGTCGTTACGCTGGCCAATGCATCTGTACTGTACTGTACTGCATTTAGTATTGCTACTTACCAAAAGAAAAACTCCTCTCTTAAATTGCCTCGCACCTTGTCCACTTCAACCCTTCTATGAGCTGAAGCTGCTCACTTTCCTCATTGCACCCTCGTCCAGATCCCACATTGTGCACGGCAAACCTTCTCAGCGAATTCGTAAATTCCTCTTTTCTTGGTCACATTCACTCTATTATTTTACCCACTTTGACTTCAGCTATAGTCCTTGGTCCTTTCTTCCATTCACCTTTGGTAGTGCAGTAGTAACAGAAGATACTCTGCTTTGTCCTATGAAATACTTTCAGAAATAACCACGGCCCGAGATCATTCGTGTTCCCTCTGATATAGTAGGAATAGTCATCGCCTTCCAACTCCTATATCTCTCATTGCTCTCATTCATTCAGTCTCACTGCTATAGTGGCTTTATATAGTCGTCCTATTATATCTATCTAGATTCATTTGAAATGCAAAATGATTTAGAGTCTGGCTGGCATAGAAATGCATATTAAGATACTAAATGTAAGAGCTTGAGAGTTGCTCTCGGATAAACAACTTAATTTGATTGCTTTAGAGCCAAATCTAATAAAGATTAATTTCAATGCACTTAAAGTTCATTTCCCTCTGGCTGGGCTGCTCAGTTTTTTTAGGCAAATGCCTTGTGCCACGCAATCGAAAACTAATTCATTCCACTTGGCTGGCGCTGCTTCGGTGTCCGTGCACTCTGAACTCGCTGGGCTACGTCTTTTTGTGCTGATTCGAGCATAAGTTGCATTCGAAATTGATTGTCACGGCTAATTAAGTGTGTCCCAGGTTGTGCGTGTGTGTGTCCTGCCAATAAATTGAGTCGTCAAACGGCGCTTCGCAGTTGAAGCTGGGCAGCCAAACGAGCAATTCATTCGCACAGGACAGCGCATCGGTTCGCCTACGAAAGGGGTGTGACTGAGACTCCGGTGTCTGTCCCGGTCCAATCCAATTGAACATGGCTAATGCGCTTTGTTGTGGGTGCTACGAATAGATGTGCGTTATACGCGCTGCAGGCTATGCCAGTGCACCATATGTCAGCTTTGTGTGGGCCTAATGCGTGTGCCCTGCCCCCTGCCGCATGCCGCCTGCCGCCTGTGTACTGCCCCTTTTCTTTCTCGCTTTTCAAGGGCAATTAATTTCTCGAGTGACAAATTTTTATAGACGTTTGTCGTTTCGTTTGCTTTCGTGCAATTTCTTGGGCATTCCATTATTTTGGCCGTCCATTGTGGGCGTTGCTCCGTTCACCCGATCGCAATAAATTTATCCACAAATTATCGATACCTAAGCGTAGCCCATAGCCCGTAACTGGTCACCAGTGTCAGGAATCCATTATGTGAGCTGTTTTCGGTGTGAATGCGATGCCGAAAACATTTACACATCCAGCTAAATATTTCCATTAACAATGCCAAATCTCACGTTGTTTACAATTATCAAAATACGCATTTGAGAATGAGAAATAATAATTATAAGGCATATATTTCATAGTCAATTAAAATTGTTATCGGCAAATCATTTTAAATTGAAATGAAATTAATTGATTTCACTCAGCAATCTAGAAACTTAACAGCTTTTAAGCTAGCTGAATAAATAACGAAAAAATTCACAAATTATATTAAAAAACAATATGTATATATATATTTCAACAACAATCAAATTGTTCATATACACATAGGTATATCTGGACAGAGCAGTTAAGCTTAAGAATAATATATTTTTGCATATTTGAGTAACTTTTGTTTCATAGTTCTTTGTTTATATTACAATACAATTACAATAAATACACTCAAAAAGTTTAGCTCGAGTCCTTCGAGTGCTTCACTCCCCTAAAAAGGCTGTGCAACATTTAACTGTCTGTCAGTTGTCAGACGAGTTTAAAATGAGTTGCAATTGCCAGAGTCAACTGAACTGAGGGCTAACAGAAAAAAAGACGAAAGGAAAAGAACAATCATTTGATCGGATTAGTTGGATTTTGGTATACTTGCCAGAGCTGGTCAGACGTCAACCCCCTTTGAATGTTCTTTTTGCATACGCGTGTCGCACGGCGGGCGCAGTGTTTTATCTGAGGCACAAACGGTGCGTAACAGGTAAACAAGGAGGCGGACGTGAGCCGGGGATAAGTGTATTCTTATCAAGGGGTGCCGCATTGGCTGCAAAGTGAAATTTGAAACTGTAGCAGCAATGCGATTAAACAGCATCCAACTGCTGCGTGAGACATTGTCTTAGGCATTGATGTGAAAGCAATGCCAACGCTATACAATTGTCACGTGCCGCAGCCAAAAAAGAGAGCACGAGAGGGAGAGAGAGGGATAGAGACAGGAGAGAACCCTTGCCTGTGGGTCGCGATTTTTATCGGCGTGCCCTCACTTCGCTCTTGCTGGGAGGCTGGCAATGTTGCAAATCATCGTCATAATCATAATTACATTCGATCAGATAACGGGCAATACAACGCGACCAAACGCCACGAAGGCGGCGCAATTGCAATTTGAGCTAACGACCAGCAGCAGTAGCAGCAGCAGCCGCAACAGCAGGAGGTGGAGGAGAAGGAGTACCACGACAATCAGGATGTGTACGGCTCAATTGGTGCGGCGTTCGCTTCATTTGCGCTCATATTTCATAGCGCGTTCGCGTACATGTCCTGGCCCGGGTGCTCGGCCTGGTTTGGTGGGCCCAGCATAAACATAAAACAAAAAGCGACTGCCAACTGCGACAACTGCCCGAAATCCTTTCGGTTACCAGCCCCGCTGCCAAAAATCGCGCTTATCGCGATTTACACGCATTATGCGGCCGGCCAAAAAAGCGCAGCGAAATTCTAAACCGAACAACAGTAAAGGGCGATTGGTGATTGGTGATAGGCGGCGATTAATGCAGCTAGATAACGGGATGTGCACATTGTGCAGCAACAACAACTCAAAATAGTGAGCCTGTTCACTATGTGAGCTAATGAGTCGCTGAACCGCCTAAAAAGCCGTTACTGCAGTTGAGCTGCCCAATCGTAAACGTGGATAAATATTAGAGATGTGTAGAAATAAATGTGACCAGCACCAAGTCACTATCTTTAAGAAAATAACAGTTGCTGTGTAAAGTCACTATGTCTACTGTGACTTTTCAACAATGCTTTCATGCGACGTCACTGCATATGCAAAAACACGTTTCCCAGTGCAACTCCAAACGAAATCGCAATAATGCGCATCACTAATGCATATTGGCGCATACACTAACACAAGCACATAGATCACACACGCCATTGCCAGCGCAGTTGTTTGTCTCGCTCATTTTGCCGCACACCCAACATCGTGCGGTTTCTCTTGCTCTCTCGCTTGCGCCTTTGTGTGTTTGCATCGTGTTAATTAAGCGATAATATTAATTTGTGTGTCAACACTTAAAAATAAAGCGTGCAAAATTTTCGATTAATAACACATTTCACATTTCATTTTGCCATTTTATCCAGTTAACAATTGCTTTTGTTTTTATTGCTCTTATTGCTGTAGGCAGTTCAGTAAATTTAACAGATTGCACAGAAAACTCGGCAAACAGAGCGCCATTTGCGCTGCTGATTTGCTTGCATATATGTATGTAAGTATGTGTATGTGAATGTGTATGTGTACATATCTCTGGTGTTGTGTATGGCAATACGATTAAAAATGCTTTCACGGCAAGTGCTTTTTTCATTTCTGCGGTTGACGCTGCACTGTGGGGCAACGAGACAAAAACTGCATTTCATATCGCGCTCATTATGCAAATATTTTTGTCTGCAACATTTGCACATATCAGTTGTGCATATGTATATATGTAAATATATTATGTTAATATGTCACACATATACATATATTGTGTGCTCGCCCTGTGCTCTGCCCTTTATTGTCTATTTCAACTAGAATATTTTACCTTAAACATAATTCCTTTGAAGTTCAAGCTTATTAAATAATTTTTTAAAAAACACGTTTTTTATTCTAATATTATTTATGTTAGGAATTTGTTTATATTTATATAAAATCAATTTTTAAATTTCATATAACGTAATTTTTTCAATTTTATATAAAATAAATTTTTTCAATTTTATATAACAATATTTTTTTTATTAATATATGTGTACAATTTGTATTTAAAAAAAATATAATTTCAAATAATATTTTTCTTTAATTGAAACCTCAAGCTGAAACTTCAATTTACATAAAATAATTCAAGCTCTTCGAAAAACATTTTACGAGCACGTCTTGGCGAATGTTCGCATTAGGCAGACTTTATTGTAATTAAATATGAATTTTTTGTTTTTGAAAATAATTATTCTAACAAATATTTTAAAATAAATATTAATATGACTGAAATGTTGACTCAAGTTCAGAACATTTACCCATCAAAACGGCCATATAAGGCATATAGTCTATATATATATATATAGTTTATTTGCTGATATAAATCCTTACATGTTGTCCTTTTACGAGTCCTGAATTCCGGACGCTGCCTGCTGCAAATTTATGCGTTAAACCGGGCTCCAGAGCTGCGCTGATAAATGATGCTTTAATAAATTAAGAGTAACCCTCGATGTATTTTTTTAAATATTTTTTTATATAAACAAAGGTTTTTTGCTTGTGCTGTAGCCGTTTGTTGCTGCCAGCGATAATTTATCTTGTTTGGCGAGATTTTTATTTTCACGTTAAAATATGCAGCATGCAAGCGCGTAAATAATGCAAAAGCCGTTGCGCTTTTTATTTTATTTTTATTATTATTTAAAAAGCGATAATAACAATTTGCAAAAATAAAAGAGAGCAAAGCATTTAACGTCGCGTCGCAATGTTGCAACATTTTTATGCAGAACGTTTAAATTTTAACAGCCACGTCAATCGGCAACTCTTCAGCTACCAGCTCCACCTCCTGCTACTGTTCGTGCTGCTGGCTCAGCTTTCATTACCAACTGCTGCCTCCATTTGCCTGCCACCAGTTGGGCTCGTCACATCAACACTCAGTTTTCTTTTTTTGTAGCTGTCTGTTGATTTTTTGTTGCTTTGATTGTTCGTTTGCCGTTTATTTTATTTTTTTGCCAACTCCTGCTGCTGCTGTTGCTGCTGTTTGGTTGGCCGCCAGGTCAGCTCTGCTCTGCTCTTGTCTGGTCTGTGATAAATCGTAGTTTAAACGCTTTTCCTCCAGTTTTTAGTAGCTTCCGTTTAGTTTTTTATTAGATGCAGCATTTAGGGGCACTTTGCCAGTTCAGATTTGCTCCAGATTCGCAGCCGCACTAATTGTTTCATCTCCTGTTCGCCCCAAATGATTGATGGCTTTGGAATTTGCTTATTTCTCAATGGACTTCCTATGAATGGCTTCCGTGTGTGGCAAAAACTTTATGCGGGCGATAGAACTGGAGGCAGTTCAAGTTTTGATATGGAAATAAAGTCGAATTTATATTCAAAGCAAAAATTTAAGATGTTTTATAAACAATTGTCTTGTTTTTTGTTGATAGTTACTTAAAATTTTTATTATTTAATTAAGTATTAACTATTTTTAGCTCACTTTTCGATATAGAATTTTCTTACTTATTTGATTTTTTATTGACTCAAGCTCTCTTGATTTCTGATAATAAACTTTTATAACTAATTATGTATACTAAATGCTTATTATGTATACTATATTCTTTAATAGATATAACAGTTAAAGTAGTGTGCTAAACTCTTCAAAATAATGCTGGATTGGCATTATTAAAGTTTTTTTTAGAGTTGTACAAGTTTAAATTATACTAAAATTAAGAAATATATATTTAATACAATTGAAACAGACTCTATTAGATAGAAAATTGTATGGCAATTCAATATATAAGCATTTATTATCTATATAAAATATTTATTAGCAACATTAGATTCTGGTTATAATGCCTAAATGCAATATGCAAGTTTTCCCCTTATCAGAGCTTCGAAATTCCCAAGACATTACCATAGAAATATTTTAAGACTTGAATTATACCAAAAAAAATCGTATATTAATTTTTATACCTTAAGTAAGCTTTTTTTTTTAATTTTTAAAATTTTAAAAATTTTTTTTAAAATTTATATATTTTAAATATATTTTTTAGCAATCTCAACTTTTTTCACTTCAAACATTCAATATTATTTTTTGTAAATATTACAAATACATGAAAGCAAAATCAATTTTGGCAAAAACATAGAAAAGCCATTAGAACATTTGTACAAAAATCGTTGACGAAGGATATGCCAGCGGAGTCTGTTGACTGAGCTGGGCCGGCTTTGGAGTGGGCCCAACTCTATAATTAGCTCGCACTTGTCCCACAAAAAGCAAACTCACACTCGGCCAACGAGCTGGCAACTAGTTGACATTGAGCCAAGGCATTGGCTGAATATCCTTTGCAGGATAGTTGTTGTTATCCCTGTGACTTAGAGAGGGCTTCAGCCGGGCGGAAGGGCAAGGCTGTTAATGTTTTTACTTGTCGGGGGAAATTATTAACCCGACAAAAACGGGATAATAAGGGATGATCATAATTTTACATGTGGCACTGATGCTGTTGGCTTTGCCTGTGCCACAGCAGGGGGTGGGCACATTGGGAGGGGGTGTGATGGGCTGGTACTCGCTGCATGTTGCCGACTACCGGTTACCGGTTGCATTGAAATTAATTTCTGATTATCTGTTTGGCTTGGCCCAGCGAACAACAAAAACAATGCACATATGCTTGTGACGTCAGCAGAGGCACTCGTCCTTGACGTCCTTGCCTTGTGGCAAGTGTGGCATCACTCGCCGGTGGATGATTCGCTCTGCCATGTGTATCTAGGTAGTTATTGTTATTACTTTTGCGTGTACACGGCGCACGGAGTACATGCATTTTTACAGCTCGTACTGATAGTGATGAATGAGTCCTGCTTACCCACCCATGAGTCCTGCCAGCCAGAGTGGGGGGGCTTGCTGGCGCATATGCCGTGTTTTTCACCCAAACTAATTCATTGGATGAGTGTTGGATTACAGAGTGAGCCGGCCAACCCGCTATAATCATTTTTAAATTAGAGAACTATGCGCCTTTTCTGGGTGGTGGCTGCTGCCTCTCTCCCTCGCTCGTTTGTTTATCTATTTGTTTTTGTTCTACGCGAAGGCTAACACACACTCGAGTGGTCGCCCCTTGGCATCTTCGGCTCTTGAAATTGCAGCAGATTGTCTGACGAGAGAAAGCTGCACTTGCGGTTTCCATTTCCCTGCCTCGGCGACTGCCAAGTGCGTGTGCCTCGCACATGCCACAATTTTTGTATAGTCACTGCCACTGCCACTGCCAATGCCACTGCCACTGGCACTAAAATGTTTTGCCTACCCCGCCCGAGTTTTACTTCTCTTTTTTACCGCCTAAGCAAATATAAATACAAATACCAAAATTGCCCCTGCCACAGTTATTATTAGCCAAAATTTCGACCACCCGCTTCGAGTGTGTCAATATTTGCTCGGTCCGTGTGCCCCATATGTCGCAGCGGCCTTCTGACCAACTCGAAGCTCTCGAGTAGTTGCACTGTAATTAGCATTTATGTGTGTTTGCCTTTGTGTTCCTGAGATGGGGCGGGGGCAGGGGCAGCGGGCGCTTGATAACAGGCTGCCATTGATTTGTAGTCATGATATACATATATCCATACGTGGCGACGTTTGTGAGGTGGAGTTAAGCACTCGAGTCAACGAATCAATAGCACGGATCAGTTGGCCTAGATTTGCGATAAGAAAAACCGTCAACAAAACAGAGGAAACACATTTTTGAAAAAGTGTTAAGCACTTTAAGCCTATTTAGTAAAGCTAATTTGTATTTAATATACTTAAGAGCATTTCTTATAGTTCATGTATGCCAATTATTATGGTACTGATAATATGAAATAAAGCCGAAAGTCAGCATGAAAAAAATATTTAAGAATTACAGAAAACCTTTTTTAAATATATATTTATTATAATATATATTTAAATATTTTATTTAAATATATATTTAAAAAAAAAAAGAACAAAAACCTAAGTTCCAAATTGTGCAAAATTTTAAATACTAAAAAAACCATGAAATATTTTTTTAAATATTTTCTTTCCTTTATCATTTACAATAGCATTAGTAATAATATATCTAATCTATACTTACATTCTCACAGTATAGCATAATTTAAAAATAACTTTTATAAAATATTTAATAAGCCTATAAAATTAAAAAAAATTCTTCTTGTTTTAAGTATTGAATTTAAATATTGAATGTATATATTTTTTTAATTTTGATACTCACGTTAGACATTATAAATTTATTTTATAAATTTTAACTTATTTTTTTAAATCTTTTATTATTATTGTTTTTAATTTCAAAACTAAACATTCAATTTTAATAATAATTTCAAGTTTATTTGTTCTATAGATTTTTATTATTTTTTTTTTTTTTTCATTTCATAATAAAGTTATATTTTTATCGATCTTAGAGTATTTTTAAACATATTTATAAATATAATAAGTTTTATAAAACAATGTTGCAATCAATTTTTTATTAAATAGATTAAGCTTTTTAAAATTACTTTAAAATTATTTAAGTATTATTTTATTTAATTTTATAAACATATTATATTATAATAAAGCAAAAAGAGTCTTCAAAGACTTGCTCGAAATATATTGCTTTACCAGAGTAAATGTCATCCAAGCTTGCGTAACACATAAAGACAATCTCTTAAGTCTAGTCCAAATATTGCAATATTTTCGAGCAAGCCCTGACTCTCTGTATAAGCAGACATCAATTCCAATAGTAGCTTTAAGACCAGCTAAGACCGTGTAGCTAGCAATTACTTACAATTTGAGTGTGCTCAACTCCATTGCAGGCCATCATCTACGAGGGCCAGGACAAGAACCCGGAGATGTGCCGTGTCCTGCTGACGCACGAGGTGATGTGCAGGTGAGTGGCTAATTTACCGAAATTCGGTTTCTGTTTTAATAATCTGCAAATGATTTGGCTGCATTGACTTTTGCTGCGACTCGCACTGCTCACACTAATCCACACCTTTGATTCCCTTCAGTACCCCTGCCCCTTCCTCACTGCCTCTCTTGGGAGGTTTCAGTGGCCGCTCTGCTCTGCTCCCCAGAGCTTCGTCCAAGTATTTATATATTTGGCTTGTAAGCTTTACTGTCCTCGCTGCCTTCTCTGTTCTTTTGCTTGTTTTGCTTTTTTTGTTTCTTTTTTTTTCTTGTGGAAATTGGCAGCTACGCTCATTTGTTTTAAGCGTTTTCCGCGTGATTTTTCCACTACGCAGCTTTTGTTTTCTTTTGAATTTCTTTTTGCTTTCTTTGAGCTTTTTGTGGGCGCTTCCCTTTGCTGGCTGCTTTAATATTGTTGATTTTTTTAGTTTACCTCTTCTGCGTCCCCCCAACTGCCCTTGTTCCCCTCTATTTTATCCTATTGCTGTTCCGTCCGTCCGTCTGTCTGTCTGTCTGTTTGTCAGCCTTCGTTTTATTTTTACGCTCAAACGCACGAGAGCTGAAACGTATAAATGGCAGCCACTCCACCTCTCTTTCTCTCTCTCTCTCACTCTCTTTCTATCTCGCTTTCTCTGCATTTTTTCTGCTCTTGCTATCGTCATCTAGCATCATCATATCTCTGGGCAGTTCACCCTTCTAGCGCCCAAAACAGAGGCTGACAGTTGAAGGTTGCCTCCAAAATAATACAAATGAAAAGCTCGCACTGCATGCACGACTATAATATACCCTGCAATATGTTAGTAGTATAGGTTACAGCAGAAACATACTTTTTCCAAATAGACCAAACTAATATGCCCAATAAATTATGCGATTTATAGCCTATGCTCAGCGCACCTTTTCGATTATTATAATAAAATATATATAATTTCGAAATAAATCCATTTTTAACTAGTTCGAAGTGTATTAAGCCCAAAATAGCAAAAAATCCAAACGCACAACAAAAAATTACACAGATTCGCCCCCTTTTTTTAGCCAACTGCCACCACCCAGCGCCCAGCGTCCACCGCCCCCCGCCCACCTCTATGCGGCACAGCTTCAGGGTGCGCTTGGCCGGCCATCTTTTATTATTTCGGATTGGCACCCAGTTTTTATGTTTGCGTAGCATTATCAAAACAAGGGGACAACGCACAGGGGTTGACTGGCCCCTGACTACTGTCTCTGCCCCGTCGCTCTTGCTGCCTCCAACTCCACCTCCACCCCTGTGTGTGCCACCCGCTTTTAGCCTTAGCTTTCGCTTTGGCCAAGAAAGCAGCAAAAATCAACAGCTTCGCGTAACACAAAGCAAATACAATGGCGTTGGCGTCGGCGTTAGCTTTTGCGTCTCAGTCGCAGTCGACGTCGCAGTCGACGTCGCAGTCGACGTCGCAGTCATGGCAATGGCTTCTTCTTTATCGTTTGGCATTTCGCCCATTTTAGTCATCCATGTTTATGTTGTGCCCAGGACGAAGCCAAAGCTCAAGCTTTAGCTGCAGCCACCCAGTTAGTGTTCCCGCCCCCTCAGCCATCCCCCACAAACGCTGCCCAGCGGCTGTGCGGCCAAAAATTACGCAGCCATTGAACTCAATTCGAGTGTGCGTGTGTGTGTGTGTGTGTGTATGAGTGCGTGCGTGTAAAAGGAATAGGAAGAATGCATAGCGCCAAATATAGCAAAAATCTCTTGGATGCGTAATCTTATATTATTTTGTGGCACCAAAGAAAATATTTAAATATATTTTTTTATATATGACAATTGTATAATATTTAAATATAACAAAATATTAAATATTTTTTGAATATAAAAAATAAATAGTTAAATACTTAGCTAATATTCTAATAAATATTTAACTAATATTTTGTTCATTTAATTAATTTGTTTACTTATTTTAATTAATTGCTTAACAAATTCAAATATATAAAAATATAAAAAATATATATATTTAATACAATTATAGAATTTTTAATCAGATCATTTAATATTACAAATAAAAAATATTTTAATATAAACAAAAATTTAGTTTTTAAAGATTAAATTGGTTATTTTTTATAACTATTTAAATTTAGTATCTTAAAGTTAATCAACTAAATTTATTAGTTGAAAATATTTTAAAAAAATTCTAATAAATATTCATTTAAGTTATATTTAAGCCATAAAGTTCAAGGAATTCCTTTTAATAATTTTTAACCAATTTGAACTTTTTCTTTCACCTGCAGCCGCTGCTGTGATAAGAAGAGCTGTGGTAACCGCAATGAGACGCCATCGGATCCCGTCATTATCGATCGGTAAGTTGTAGCTCGTAAGCCGTAGTGTCCCGTCGCATGGAGCCCAATACAGCTCCAGCTTCAGCTCCATAGAAAAGATGACATTTTAAGCTGCTTTTCATCATCGTCGTTGTTGGTTTTTTTTTATTTATTTTGCCTGCCTGCCTGGGCCACTGGCTGACGGGCTGGCTGCCTGACTGGCTGTGTGTATTGCGCATATCGTTGATTTATTGGCATTATTATCAACTGCAATATAAAACATGATGCGGCAGCTAGCCACGTCGAGACAGCAGCCACAGAGCGAGAGCCAACAGCTCGCACAGCTCTGAAAGTTCATCAAAAAGGCAAATTCTATTTTCATAAATTTTGTGAATTGTAAATTGAGACGAGTGCAGCAGCAGCAGCAGCAGCACAGCAGCAGCAATTCGACACCCCAAAGCCCTTGTTACCCTCTCCCTGCTGCTGCTGCCTGTCTCTGTCTCCGCCCCCTGCTCATGTCACGTGTCAAGCGAATTATGTTAATTGTATGCACATCCTTGCGGCTGCCACTTCCCAGCCGGCAGTGCGTCGCCTCTAATTGGCTTCCACAAAATATTATTAGTGGCTTACAAATTGTTTGCTCAAGACATAAGTAGCCGCGCAGTAGGCGGTCGATTGCGGAAACTGAAGCGAACTCGATTTTAATTGAAATTGCAAAATGTTTACCCAAAATTATATTTCAAAAGAAATCTTTCAGTTTATATTGTGTTTAAATATGAAATACGTTTCTCAGTTCTTAGCCAATTTAAGCTGTGGAGAGAGAAGCAATAGCAAATTACTTCCATGTTATTTTCTTTGCTAATCAAACTCTCAACGATTTCCCTTCATTCAGTTGCCTCATTGAACTAGCTGCTATGCCAACTATTTGAATACTCAATTCCATTTGGACAGTCATGCTTTAAGTTCGTTTGTTGTTACAGTTGTTGTTGTTGCTGCACGCGACAAGACTGTTGCAACTATTCCAAGTGATCAAAGTGGATCGCACCATATGCAGATGGCGAACGATGCGACAACTTCATCGCAGTCCCTTCAAATGGTGTCTGAAACTATTTGACTACTGGCCACATTCGCATAGAGGCCCACTAGATTGCCCGCCATGGTGGTATTCTACGAAAACAAGGGACTTAATGATTCTATTACATATTACAGCCGAAGCGTTGAGGGACGTTGCAACGACGTTGCAGATGGCGACTCATTTATGCGCTGGCCAGGCCGGCTAGGCTGGCTGGTTGGCTGGCAATCAGACCATAATTGGTGTCATAATTAAATTTAATTGATTGCCTGTTAATGTTGTTTGCTATACTAGATAAAATGAAAAGAAAAAGCAGAGCCTGCCTTGGCAGCAGTTTGCAAATTAGGAAATCTATAGCAGCAACAGCTGGTGCAACGAGCTGCGAGCTGTGGCAATGGCTGCGGCAAGATCAGAAGCCCATTCGCATTTATGATCTTGTTAAAATTGTTGAGCGTGTTTTGCTTTTTGTTGCATCGAAATGCCAGCAAAGAACAGTTACTGTCCGACAGACAGAGGGATTGCATCTCTGATCTCGTATCTGGGATCTGGCAACTCGCATCTGGATCTGGTATCTGTCCACGTGCTCAGGCGCGATATTTACGATTATTAATTCATTTTTCGCCTGTTTATTTGCGCTATGCGAGTGAGTCGGCTTGTTAGCCGCACAGCTGTGGCATTGACCAAATTGGTTAATCCCAGCCAGCCCAACGCATTCCTGACTCTCAGTCCTGAGTCGTTGGCATTTTCGCTCGGCACATGTCGCATTTGTCAGCCTACCTGTAACTTTTGTCGGCAATCTCTGGGAGATGGGTGATGGGAGATGGGACGAGCGAGCGAGCCAGGGAGAGAGGTGCATATCAATCAGCAACTCTAAAGTTCAGTCGGCATGGATCACTCGAACTGGCTCTGCGCTGCTCTGCTCTGGTCTCATTGATATGCCAGTAGTTCATGCCGCCTAAGACGCAACTCGTTCTGCCTTTTGGATAATCTATGTGTATGCAACTAAATGTTGCAAGAGCTCCACACGCTAAAGCGCTAACTTGGCTGGTGGTCGCGCACATTTTGCCACTCAAGCTACGATATTGTGCCTGGGCCTAAAACTTGTCACTGGGCGCGCAACAATTGGAACTGATTGAAAATTCCGACTGAATCGCTGTCGACAGCATTTCAAAGTGCGCTCGGCTCGGCCTGGCTTCGCTTGACTTGGCTAAGCCAAAAACTCTTGATACATATGACAACAACAGCAGCCAGTCAGCCAGCCAACAGACACAACACCAATCGGCCGCCCAGTTGCCTGCCACTTCCATGACGCTCGAACGTGTGCCGTGAGAGCTGCTGCAGCTACTGCTGCTGCTGCTGCTGCTGCTACTGCAACAGGAGCAACTCCAACTCCAACTACAACAACAACCAGAGCCTTTGCTTCCACATGTTTTATTGATGAATTTCTGTTATTCATGCAACGATCTGCAGTTGGCCAGCAGCGCGAGCGGCTTTACAGATCCCGAAATTGCGCACACAATGCAACGAGCGCACAGTGGGCCCAAAACATAGCCAATCAATTCAAAATCAATTTCATGCAATTATATTTAAATTGTTATTCTCCTGCTGCTAAGCAGCCAGCTCTAAAGTATTTTTACAGCGCTTAAAAATGGCTTTAAAAATATTCAAAGTTTTTAAATTCTATTTCTAATCAGATTCCAATTGGCATGTATCAGCTAGTTTAATCTTTGCCTGGATATATAAATTCATTAATATAAATTAATTTAAATAAATTTACGACTTTATAAATTCATATTTTTTACGTTGATAACTGCAAAAACATAATTTAAATATATTAACAAAGTTTCTAAAAATATATAAAAAAAAATAAAATGATGAACTTAAAAAATGTATATATATATATATATATATATATTTTTTTTTATTTCCACATTAAATATTTTAATTTTTACAAATATACCTAAAATATAAAAAATATATATATATGAAATAAATTAATATAATTTAGATGAAATTAAATAAGACATATTAAAAAATATATAAGTATGAAAACTTTAAAAGTTTTATGAAAGTTATTAAAAATTAAAATGCTGTAAGCTATGTGATAACACTAATCAAATTCAAGTTACAACATTTTAAAAGAAATTTATATTATATATTTTTCAAATAATTAAAAAATATTATATATTGTTTTTTTTTTTAATATTTGATTCCTCTTAAACACTTAAATAAACTTATTCGTATTCGATAAAATATATATAAATAAAATATATATATTTAAAAAAAATAGTAATATTGAATAAATAATAATATATCCTTACTAAATAAATATATAATTCTATTCTATTACTCTATTCTATTCTATATTCAATTTTTTTATTTTATTTTCAATTTGTTTTCTTTATTTTTATTTCTGTTATTTTATTTGATATTATTATATATAACAGCTAAATAAATTAAATATTAAATACTTAATGAATTGGATAGTAAATCTTAAAAATATATAAAAAAAATATCTATTTATTTTATATATTTTATATATATATATATATATATATATATATATATATATATATATAGTTATATATATATATATATATATAGTTATATAGTTAGACCAGCTCAAAATATTAATCAACAAAATACTGAGTTTATAAATTCTAATTATTAAGGCTGTCTTCAACCAAACATGAGCAAAACTTGAGTAAGTTTTTTGTAATAGTTTATATATTCATTTGAAACTACCATTTTCTGGCTTCAGTAAATTTCTTGAATAAACAAATTATTTAAGTGTTTTAGTCACAGTGTCTAAAATTATATCAGAGGATTTGCAATTACCAGCGCAGGTGAGGACACAGTCAACAGCGACAGCAGTAGCAGCTACAGCTTTAGCTTCTCATCTACCGCTCTCTGCTCTCCTCTCCCCCCTTTCTCTATCTCTCTCTCTCTCTCTCTGTTTCTTCTGCAAGCTTGAGGAACCGTCTCGGTTCTGCTTTTATTTATGATTTGCGAGGACATTCGCAGCATTGTGTGGATCGATTGCTACGCATTTTGTCTTATTTTTTCGTTGTTTTTGTTGTTGTTGTTTTTGGTATGCCCTTCGTGTGTGTTCCATAATTAAGTGAATTTAAAGCGCACTTCGGCGGTGGTCGCATTGTCGCCGCCGTGGAACCAACTGCAGCATTTCTGTATCCCACTCTCTCTCTCTCTCTCGCTCTCTCTCCCTCTGTTTGTTGTCGTTCGGCTAGCCAATTTTGTGGTTGTTGCTTGTGTCGACTGCGACATGTTTCACGTTTTTTTCACACATTTTCGTTGATCGCTGTTGAACTTGAGCTTTGTTTCTGTTTTCAGTTTTCTGTTTTCGGTTTTTTGTTTTCAATTTTAATCTCATTTTATGCGGCCATTACATGGGCACATCTGGCGTATGCGTAATTAGGCTCTATCTCTCTGCATTAACACACATACACACACACGCACACTGCACTCACTCCCGCAACATTTAACGATTATCGCGTGTCAAATAACCGATTCGACTTTTTAATTTGAGTAAATTGTGCACCAAAAAAGACGAAAAAAAACAAACGAACAAATAAACAACTACAACATCAACCATCTGTTGGAAAAGCGGAAAATTGTTATTTGCAAGAGTGGCCAACACAGCTGACAACAACAAAACGAGTGGAGAGGGGCGCCAGAAACGTAGCGCAACAATCGAAAATTTGCCGCTTTTGCATTTATCCATGTCATTGGCATTTTCTTCGCTTTATTTCAATTTTCTATATTTTGTGCCCGACGCGACAAATAAACTAAGTGCAAACTCACCGGCAACTGCGCCCCGCCCACCAAAACCATCAAACCCCCAAGGCCTCCAACCCCAAACCCCCTCTACTAACGACGGCGACAAATAGAATTGACGTTTTGTGGTGTCCAATATGCAAACCGCTTGGTTGAATACAGTGGAGGCCAGCAA